TCACACTATAATTTATTCTTTTTTTTATCCCAAACTGATTTTTATCTGGCAACCCTACTTTAAGCAGATGCCTTAAATTTTGGCCTAATTTTCCTTAAATGTAAAATAGGATTGATAGGTGACATTTATTGAGGCCTGATTCTTTTTCAACTGTTTTGCTAAACACATTAAAAGAAAAGGTTAATAATAATTGCCTATACATCATAAGATTCTTACAAAGATCAAATCAGAAATTAGTGTGAGTAGTTAAGTGTATATTAAGTGTTAGTGAATTCAGGTTAATTTACATCATACCTTTAAAGCTTGCTTGCTCCCAGCCTGCTACCCTCCTTGAAGAATGAATCTCAAGTCTATAGCAGGTCTGCTGATCCCTCAGAAGCAGAGTAAGGAAAAAACCCAATTTTCTTGTTTCTTTACATAATACTGCAGCTAAAGTGAATCCACCTGTACTTTCTGAACACCTTCTCCAGAATAAAAGCTAGTTAGAGAATGCACATTTGTAAGGTAAAAACTTCAGTTTTGCTCCACTTTGTTAACAAACTGATCATCCCTGGTCAAATTTGAAAATAAATCATGTGTCAGGCGAAAATAACCAAAATATTAAAATGAAACCTATTTTAAGGTTACCACTAGCTATATAGGGTTAAGATATCAATTTCTTTCTCTGGAAAGGCAAGAACTATACTCCGGTGAGTGGTGGACGGGTTGGATTTCAACACGCCATGCGGTCTTTGGTTGGGTGTCCTCATGTTAGATATCGCCGAGCACTTGTCCAAATCAGCCCTGTTGACATAAAAAGGCAGCTCATAACTTCTTCATATAGACTATGCCTAATACATTAATCCACCTGTTCTATATGACAGGAGTACCTGAAACAGTATCTACCAAGTATACAGTAACATTGCCACTCGTATTGAGGCCAAGGCTAAGAGAGTCCTGTAACTTACAAGAGCAATGAGAGCTGAGTCCAGAATTGAGCTCCCACTTATTCCATCTCACAGTCTTCCCTTTCCTTAGATCACTTTGCCTTCCTGGACTTCTGTTGCTGCGCACATAAACATTCCACATAAACAATGAGGCAGACACCTCCTCTCCCTCTCCCTTTTCCCTCCCCCTCCCCCTCTCTTTCAGAGAATGCCTTGTATACCTTGAAGAAGTTTTTTAAATGATTGTTACTATTTTACCTAGAAAAGCAAAGAAAGGCAGAACTAGTGTAGGTCTTCCTAGACAGTGTCTGAAATGATGACCAAAAACCATTTGATGTTTTTTAGCCTTTGAACCTTGATATATTTCTCAGAGAGAGCAGTGATTTCTAACTGCAGAAACTACTTTATCGGCACTTGAACAATTACAAAAGTTATCCAATTTTAGATTTAGGAAGTGTGTGTTCTCTGTGAAAAAGTAGGACTCCTCAGGACATGGTATTTCCTCCTGGGTTACTCTAATATGGTTGCATCACTAGACAATACAGTGGTACCTTGGTTGAGGGACTCAGTTCTCACCACGATTCTGATCACAAATCAAACTGAAAAAAGAGCTGCATCAAACAAACTTTCCCATAAGGTCAACATTGAACCCAAACATTGAATTTGATTTGGTCCTCATCCAACTGATTGGGGCTGGCATTTTTGATCTCTGGTTTTCAGGCCTAATCATTTTTCAGCTAGGTCTTACCTTTGGGGGAACATGGTATTATAAAAGAGTTGCTTGAGGAAAAAAAAAACCTTTGCTGACAAGTCCTGAAAAGGAGAATACCGCACTTTGAAAGGAGTCCATGAATTCTTGCCTCAAAATAGGAAATAATATGCTTACCTGGCAACAGGATTTAAAGCACGTGTGTGTGTAATTTCCCTGACCTTTGTGCTCAAAGGCATTGAAATAATATTCTTCTTTCAATGAAAAGCAGTAGTGCCTGTCCCAGATGGCCGTTCTCAGTGCTTCTTCTACCCAGCTCAGTTTAAGGTGAGGCCTTCTGGCCCCTGCATGCTCATGTCCTGGGCATCTGTAGGCAGAGGAATTCACACACTAAACATACTAACTCCTTGTGTTCAGATAGCTGTATCACACTCACTGCTTTAGGCAAGGTCTATTCATGATTCCTGACCTATAAGAAACCTAGCTCTCAGCTGAGACGGACCTGGGTGTGTAGGACCTAACATAGGGACAACTGGGAGGAGTCTGGAAGAACATGTAGGGAATGAGCTTGTTAGATTGTTTGACAAGATCTTGAAAAGACAGTCAACAGATATGCAAAATGCCTGCAAGAAATGAAGGACTCGGGAAGGAAACAGAATATTGACACACCTAATGTAAGACCACTTCCACTAAAAGGGGGCCGTGAGTGCCCCAGGCATCCTTCAGGCAGTGGGAAGTTTTCACAACCACAACTTAATGGATTTAAAATATTCCAATAGCTGATTAAAATCAGATGGAAAAATGTTTCATCTCACTAGTAATCAAATAAATGAAATGAAAAGGATAATGAGATTCTATTTTAAGCTTATTTTTAATTGATAATTCTTAGTGCTAACAATGGTCAGTATCTTGATGTTACATTTTCTGGTGGAAGTGTAAAGAGCTGTTTGGAAAGCAGTTTGGGCACAGGAAGAGAGAATTCTTCAAATGCTCATATCTCCTAACCCAAAGGAGACGATTGTAATATTCATATCTTCTGCATCAAGGAGTCATTCTGTATCAGGTTTAAGTTTAGCTACATATAACAGGAATCCCTAAAGAACAAACAACATGGATGTTATCTGAGAGGGAAGCTACAAAACATAGGGCTTAGTTGGACATTATAACCTAAAACAAAATTCTATTACTAAGGAGAAAAAGGAGAAAGGATGTTAGATAGGTAACTACAATGTTTACCTGGAAATAAGACCTAGCTGGCAAACAATCAGCTAGAAAACTAGAGATCAAAAACACCAGCCCCAGGGCCAGGGATGTAGGTCAGCAGCCCAGCACCATCTGCCTGGCAAGTGCCAGGCCCTTAGTTCGATTTCCAGTACCAAAAATTTGAAAATGCCAGCCCAATTCAGCCTGTCCTTGCCTTACCTGTCTTACAGAGTAGGCAACGAGCAAGAGAATAGTGATAGCAGGTAAGTGAAGGACAGGCTGATTGGGGCTGTCATTTTGATACCAAATTTTCAAGGTTGATTATTTTCTGGCCAGGTCTTATTTTCCGGGAAAGATGGTGTTGTGCCCATGTCGCAAAATACCCAAGAAGACCATCAGGAAATTCTTCTGATGTAAATACATGAGGAGTTCATTGCAAGCTTGAGCCTGGACTCCCAGTGTCACCAATGCAGTGGCTTCAAACTGGAAGTCCTGACCCATTAAAGTAGCCTATAGGGTTTGGGTGGCTTGAAGTTCTCTCTATTCTGTTGGCTTCTTTTCTCATTTTCTAAATCTATTGGATGTTGCTGGGGCTCTTGCAAAAGAGGGAAGGAATTTACTTTAGCTTGGGGAGGGGGTCAGTTCAAAAAGGGGTTAGTATGCTCAAGGATGCAGTGTACTCTTCTTATCTCTATAGAACCTCCTGTTCTTTCTCCTTGAGGTTGGAATGGCCTTCCTCCCATCTGCCTGACTCTGTTCTTATCGCAACTAAGTAAATTAAGCAAACCAAGCAAATTTTTACTGCCTGAGTTAGAAGTTTGGCCCTGACACCGGATGGCTTTTCAGCTCAAAATAGAGTTAATTAGGCTAAGTGGGGCGTCTTGGGATTTGGGCCCGATTTTTAGGGTCCCACAATAGTAATGATTTTTACTCCATTATCCAAGTAAACATATTTGAACCTCTCAAGTAATTCATAAAATGTCATTCCTTTTTTAAAGAAAAGCCAAAATTTTCAAAAATAGGGGAATATTCACAAATTATAATTCTATTCTTTCACAAAACAAAGAATCTTATCTACAAAGTCTAAAATAATAGCTCACTATGCTTAAGAAAGCAATTGTAAAAAACCTCATAGATTTTATTTTATTTATTCTTTTCTTCTTTTTCCATATTTTCCATGATGTGTATACTTAAGTGAATGCTATAAAATCACAGATATTATTTTCTTAAATATTATAACTGAAGACAGTTTCCCATATTTGAGAAACAGGGTTGCAAACTGAAAATTCCCCAGGTTTTTCCCCAACAAAATAAATATATGGGACACAGCCTGGTAAATTGTTCAAATTTTAAGAAACCAATCCTATCAATTGTGAATTGGGAAAAGCGGGTCACCATCAAATGACCTAAATTTACGTTGTCTGCCCTCTTCTACTCACCTGCGTGCCAGAAGATAGTGCAGTCACATCCTCGTCACTCTCCATGTTGTCACCATCACCAACATATCTGAACCTTTCATTGAACTCTTAAGGATGTTTATTTGCTTTTACCCTCTTAAAAGGTATATATTACTGTTAGTTCTATTTTACACCTAAGTAACATACGGTACAGAGAGGTTAAGTGACTGGATCACTATCCCACAGGTTGTAAATAGTAGAGCTGAAATCCAAACACAGGCAATGTGATTCCCAAAGCTACAACCTTTCTGTTTACCATCCATAGAAATTTGAAGAAAAACAGATTGTGATTCAAAGAAATTGTGCACTAACATGTCATTAAGGTACCCACCCATATACTTCAATAACTATCTTAAAATTTCCTAGATATTAATTTTAATGATTTGAATAGTAGGAAATTATACAAGCAAGAGGTTGTAGGCATCAAGCCACTTAGAGTTTTAGACTTCTAATGAGAAGCAAAAAGTTCTAATGAGATAAGATGGATAGTTACAAAAAAGTTAAGGCCAAAGCAGTTTTCCATAGCATATATTTAGAAAGAAGTCAGCCTGCTCAGGAGGCCTGTATGGAGACCATCCTTGCCCAGTGTGGCCTGGCTGGCTGGGGAAGGAGTAGGCTGCCGTCCCTGGGCTGTCTTCTATGCTGTGGCTGTGTCTTCCTGAGCTGTATCCTGCTTCTCAGTCCCCTTTCACTTCTGTCTTTCAGCTGAAACTAAGATCTGCTTCAAATACTACCACGGAGTGAGTGGAGCCTTGCGAGCCACCACCCCCAGTGTCACGGTCAAAAACTCAGCGGCTCCTGTAAGTCCCAGCTCTGCCTCTTTAATCAGACCTAACTCTGCTGCTTCCTTCCTGCTTTGTATTCTGTGTGTGTGAGCTTTTATGTGTGTGTGTGTATGTGTGTGTGTGTGTGTTTGTGTGTTGCATGCATGTACACATACATATACAGAGATACGGTGATTGATGGGTTAAGAATAGATTAAAAAGATGTTTCAAAATAGTGAAGAGGAACACACCTTAGCTAGGAATGTGCCACTTGTTTGTTTAGGGAAATGCCAAGCTCCAGTAGCTCCCTAGACCACCAAATGGTTCTACTAGACAAGGGCTTAACAGCAGGAAGTATTGCTTTGGAGTTTATTTTTTTTAACTCATTGACTTTAAATATTTATATTTTTCTGTGTTTTCATTTTGAGGCTTCTAAATAATAGAATAGAATTTATTGCCTCAGATTGATCTCAGTCACAGTAATATGAAATGGTAGGCCTAGAAATGACCAGAATCTCTCTTTCTTCATTTCTTTATATAAATGAGCACACTATACCTAAGGGGCTTGATTATGGTGCCTCAGATCACAGTTAGCCAGGTGCCCATCCAGAATTTAGATCACATGTTTTGTCTTCTACTTTGTTGCTGTGCTCAATCTTATAGTAATAGGATGCCATGTTTTCCTAAATTACAGTGTACTCTTAACCCTTGCAGTGCTTCTTACATAATTCTCAATGCACCAGATAAAGCTAGCTGAAATCTACTTGGAAATGATCTTCCTTTTCCTTTCACATAAATTAAAAATGACCAACCAAGAAGGCTGAACAGAAAGCCAGCGAAGACGCAGTCATGCAAGTGGAAATCAAAAGAAAGATCTTTGATATGCAAAAAAAAAGGAATAATGAAAACATTTGAAATGTAATGTAAATGATTCAGGAAAGACACTAAAAAACTACAGCAGGGTCTTGAAGATGTACTGATGGAAGCCTCGGTAATAAGCAGTAAGTTAAGCAGGCAGACTTCAGAGACTGAATATTGTGTGCCTCCCTCCTCAGGACTGGACTCTGGACGGAGTTTGCCGGAGGGGATGCACAGGGGAGGAGAAGAGAGAGACAAGGAGGGCCATGCATGCTCTATGGTCGCCATCCCTCCCTATACTGACCCTGTACATGGGAACTTGGTGTCTGTCATATCTCCTGAGTGGGACAGGAGTTTAAATGTGGAATCTGGAAAAGTTTTCCCAGAGTTCCGAGACCTCTTCCAGGACCGTGTGTACAAAAGAGGATACCTCCCAAAGTCAGAAGGAGAGGGAAAACCAGAGCTGGATGGACGATCAGGAAGGCACTGAATATACACCACACAATGAAAGAAGGAGCCAGACAGTGGACAGAAGCCAATCCAGAAAAAATCTTCTGTGCTTACTACATCACATCATGCCTTTTCCACCCATAGCAAGTCACTCACGGAAGTGGATTCTTGCCAGACACTTTCCTCCCTCATCTAGGCAGGGCTCTCCCACTGATGGGACTGGCAGGTTGGCACAAGTCTGGGACAGGAGAGGAGAGATCCTTGCCTCCACCTGATCAGTTATGAGATCATGATGGGTGTGGGCCAGCCATGGAATTCACTTGTAATTTAAAGAAAACTCCCTAAAGTATTTGGCTTCTCTGAACTCAGCCTACTGAAGGCTTCAGATGTTTCCATGGTGATGCTGAGTGTGACTGACATCACCAGTGAGGTCCAATGTAAACGTAGAATGAAACAAGATGACAACTCCCCAGAAAACAGACTTGGAACAGACAGGAAATGAGCCTTCCAACACTGGATCAAGTATCAGCAAGTACATGTTTTCCAGGGGCCGCCATCACAAGAAACAAAGGCCGATTTACATCTGAGAAGTGAAAACAAGGTGTTTTGGTCATATTATTTGACATAAAAGTCCAGGAGATCACATGGATTCTACTGTACCCTGACGCCGTCTTTATCATTCTGTGCATGCTACTGTTGCTGGTACTAAAAGTTCAGACACCTTGAAATATTCTGACATATTGCTCTTTTCCTTATCCTCACCACCTTGATGATTTTTCTCATATACATTAACAGACATTTGGGTTGACACTTCATGTACATTCCACGGGAAACCTTTGTTCCTCTTTTTAATCACCAAGTATGTGTAAGCCTGACCCTAAGGTCCATGTGTCAGGGTATCTCTTGATATGATGATCTTGGGTATCCACTGTCACACTGTGACAGCAGGCAGAATCCCAGGCAGAGGGATCATGCTTTGCCTGTATTTTAATGTGCAGTTAGGCTTTGTAGTGCTTAAGCTATCATTGCCCTTACTGTTTTGATAGTTACTTTTGCATTGCTCTTTTTGGTTCCCAGCACACATAAGGCAGGAAGGAACCATATTTTCGCTAAGTGACCATTTGGCTATATGGTGACAGAATGGAACCCACGTTAGTTTATAATTTGCAAGCCAGTTTAGGTGTTGGTATAATTGACTTACCTTCTGAGTTGCAATCTGGCCTTTGCAATCTGGTCTAAGAACCTAGGAACGCTGTTTCTAAGGGGAAATGGCATTAAGTTGCCCCAAATCCATTTGTCAGCAGACTTTTTGAATATCCACTTTCAAATTGAGTATGGCTGGTGCTATGCCAGTCTTCTATGAAGAGTTGCCATCAGTAGCCCTTTTATCATGTCAAAGGGCCATTCAGTCTATTGGCACAAAACACTAAAGCTGTAACACTTTGGAAACAGGGACTGAGATGTGAAGTGCTCCTCTGGCATAATCAGCCCTTTAATTTTCGGAGCCGAGTAGATTCGTGCTCTGAATCAGTTCTTCTCATCATTTCTTTCACCTTCAGCTTTGTCTTTGTCTAATTGGTCACGATTGAGATCCTTATTATCAAAAGAGGTTATTGCCTATTCTTACCATTCTGGAACTCTCATTTATTTGGTAGTCTGAATCATAGCTTAGAACTGTAAGGGAAAGGAGCTTTAGAGGTAAATTAAAGGTAAGTCTTGTCACTAAGAGCTCACAGTTACTCTATTATTGGTTATAATACTATCTGAGTGTTCAGACTCTACCCTCACCATGCTGCCGTGTAGCAAAAGGTACCTGTAGCAGCCATTCTGGCTGTTGGAGGAGATGGCATATGGGCTGAAGCACATGGCATAGATGGAACTTTACCATCTTTACTAGAAGGAAAGCCACACAAGGCTAACAGCATGTGCAAAGGTCCAGTGGCATAATGTGATACCAACCTGGTGAGGAAGGTCTAAATTATGCTAGGTCTGAAGAACAGATGATTATAGTTTTTCCACATATTCCACTTCACTTTGCTTTTTCATATGTTCTGTGTACTATTGGGAGCACCTACCTTATGTGTTATATTTTCTTCCATTCCCTGTACAAAAATCATTTTGAAGATAAGTTCCTCTTTGCCCTTGCTACCTTTTCTTTGTAAATGATGTCTTTCTCAATATTCTTTTGATACACATCAAAGGACAGAAATCTCTCTAGACCTATAATTTCCTTAAAACAGGGTAGGTGTTGTGGTTCAGATCAAGACTAGCCCCCAAAACTCTCATGCACTCAGATGTGAGGCTATTCAGGAAGGTGAGTGAATTACGGGGGCGCTACAGCTGCATGTGATGTTAGGAGGTGGGGCCAGGTTGGAAGAGGTGGTCGCTGGGTGTGACCTGGAAGGCTGCATCTCCCTCCCCAGTGCCTCCCTTTGCGCTCTGCTTCCTGGCTGCCAGGGTGGGAACAGCTCTTCTCCACCCCAGCCCCTCCCATCATTCTGGTCTGGTTTGGAGCCAGCCGACTGTGGACTGAAAACATGAGCCAAAATAAACCTCTCCTCGAGTTGTGGGTGTCAGGTTGTGTCTCAGTGACAAGGAATAGAGTGGCTAAGACAGTAAGTTAGACTGCTCTGTATTTGTCAATTATATCATTAGAATCTTGTGTACCATTATAATTTTTCACACCAGAGAAACTATTCAGTATTTACACATGTGTGACTTACTTATTTCACTCAGGAGTATATCCTCAATATATATCCATTTTCCTATGAATGACTCTAATTTCTCATTCTTTATGGCTGAGTAGTATTCCATTTTATACAAAAACCACATCTTTATCCAGTTTCCAACTGATGGGCAAATGGGCTGTTTCCAAGTTTTAGATATTACAAACTGCCACTATAAACATAGGTGCGCATATATCACTGTGAAATGATTCTTTTCCAAGATTCTTTTGTAATATCCTTCCATAAGCTCATGTTCAGGTAATGGTTTTCCCAACTGACCAGTCAAAGGCTCATTTAGACCATGGAATGGCAATTTCCCAGCTATGTTTTTCTAATTGTAATTTCTCATTAGTTATGCTGAATAAATAATTGCCTTGAAGAAAGAGTTGGGGAGAGTTCAAAGCTATTTTATTTTCCTCAACTGATTTAGTTAGAATCCTAGCTTTTGTGATCTCACCCATTTATGCTAATGCAACCATGCTCTAAAACCTGCCCTTGCGTGTCCGGTCTTGGTCTGGAAACCTGGCTTCAGGAAAATTTTGGGAAGGTTACAAGAGGTTCATTTTTTTAAGCTTGGATTTTAGTAATAGCCATGTGTGTTAGTCAGCTTTCCATTACTATGATACAACACCTGAGATAATTAAACAAAAAAGAAGAAAAGTTTACTTTGGCCTCTAACTTTTGAGGTTTCAGTCCATTGTCAGGGGTGTCCATTGTTTGAGGGCCTCTAGTGAGGAAGGATACAATGGTAGGAAGCTGCTGATCTTGTGGCAGCTAGGAATTGAAAGAGAGGAACAAGAAAGGTCTGGGGTCCCAATATCTCCTTCCATGGCACACCCCAGGCCCTGACTTTCTTCCGGTAGGCCACAACTCCTAAAGGTTCCTCTACTTTTTCACATCGCAGGCTGGGAACCAAAGCTTGACTGCAAAGGCCTTTGGAGACATTCAAGGTCTATAGCAGTATTGAAACCTTTTATGAGTTAATTATGTTTTCCTGTTAAT